TGTGTTTACTCTTGAACACAGCAAAGAATCGAACATTTCTGCTACTGCTAATAATAACAATAGTAATAATACAGTGGTCCCCCGCTTTTCGTAGTTCCCGGCAATCATAAAATTCGCCAATCATAGGGGTATTTTCGTATAAACATGGACTCGCTTTTCATAGGTTGACTCGCGAGTCGTAGTTCGTCCGGGACGCGTATGCACGGCGTGAGCCAGGGCAGCAGCCAGTCTGGCATTGTTTACCAATGAGCGAAGGTCCCCTCGCGTGCTCCAGCGAAATATTTCATAATATTCCATTTATTTTAGTGCTTGCAAGTACTAAATAAGCTACCATGGCTCCAAAGAAAGCTCCTAGTGCCAAGCCTGTGGTAAAGAAGGTGAGAAATACGATTGAATTTAAGAAAACCATCATTGAACAATATGAAAGTGGTACAAGTGTGGCCAAACTGTCCAGGATGTATAAGAAACCCTACGCAACCTTATGTTCCATAGTGGCCAAGAAAAATGAAATAAAGGATGCTGTTGTTGCAAAGGGAGTAACTATGCTGACAAAAATGAGATCACCAGTACTGGAAGAGGTTGAGAAGTTATTATTGGTGTGGATAAATGAGAAACAATTAGCAGGAGATACTCTTATGACTTGGTTTATTTGTGAAAAGGCTAGGCAGTTGCATGAAGATTTGGTAAAGAAATTGCCTGCAAATAGTGGTGAAGTGAGTGAATTTAAGGCCAGCAAAGGCTGGTTTGAGAGATTTAAGAACCGTACTGGCATACACAGTGTGGTAAGGCATGGTGAGGCTGCCAGTTCGGACCACAAGGCGGCTGAAAAATATGTGCATGAATTCCAGGAGTACATAGAGGCTGAAGGACTGAAACTTGAACAAGTGTTCAATTGTGACGAAACAGGCCTCTTTTGGAAGAAAATGCCAAAGAGGACCTTCATTACACAAGAGGAAAAGGCAATGCCAGGACATAAGCCTATGAAAGACAGGCTGACGCTAATGTTCTGCGCTAATGCTAGTGGGGATTTCAAAGTGAAGCCATTACTAGTGAACCATTCTGAAAATCCCAGTGTGTTCAGGAAAAACAATATTATGAAGAGTAAATTGTGTGTGTTTTGGAAATCTAATAGTAAGGCATGGGTCACGAGGGAAATTTTCGTCGAGTGGTTCAATGTAGTGTTTGGCCCTAGTGTGAAGGAGTATCTCCTGGAAAAGAAATTGGATCTCAAGTGTGTGCTAGTAATGGACAATGCACCTGCTCATCCTCCAAACTTGGATGACTTAATTTTCAAGGAGTTTGGGTTCATCACAGTAAAGTTCTTGCCCCTGAATACCACTCCTCTCCTCCAACCCATGGACCAGCAGGTTATTGCAAACTTTAAAAAACTCTACACAAAAGCAATGTTTCACAGGTGCTTGACTGTGACCACAGACACTCACTTGACCCTAAGGGAAATTTGGAGAGAACACTTCAGCATCCTCCACTGCATAACCCTTATAGGTATGGCTTGGGAGGGAGTGACTACCAGGACTTTGAACTCTGCCTGGAGAAAATTGTGGCCAGACTGTCAACAAGAGGGATTTTGAAGGATTTGGGACTGACCCTAATGAGCTTATGTCTGTTGTAAAATCAATTGTGGCACTGGGGAGTTCCATGGGGTTGGATGTGAGTTTGGAGGATGTGGAAGAATTGGTGAAAGACCACAATGAAGAGCTCACCACTGAGGAGCTGCAAGAGCTTCAGCAGGAAGAGCAACACATCGCAGCTCAGAATCTTGCTGCAGAGGAGGAGGAAGAGAGATGGAAGAAGGTGCCTTCTTCAGAAATTAAAGATTTTTTTACTATGTGGGGTAAGATGGAAAGCTTTATGGAGAAACATCACCCTAACAAGGTTGTTGCAAGCCAGGTTGGCAACATGTACAGTGACAAAGTCTTGGGCCATTTTAGGGAAGTGTTAAAGAGACACCAGAAACAGAGCTCTCTCCACAGTTATTTTGAGAGACAGGACTCCAGTGACTCTCAAGGTGGTCCTAGTGGCATTAAGAAACAGAGAAGAGAAGCAACCCCAGAAAAGCAAATGGTACCTGAGGTGTTGATGGAAGGGGATTCCCCTTCCAAACTATAAACAATCCACTCTCTCTCCTCCTCCAGTCTCCCATACACTAAGAAGAATCTCCAAAAAAGGTAAGTGTTATGCTGTTAATGTTTCATTCATCATTTCCCATTGTATTGTTTATGTACTACATATTTCATGTTAAAAAATTTTTTGTTTTAATACTTCTGGGTGTCAGGAACAGATTAATTGTATTTACATTATTTCTTATGGGGAAAATTGATTCGTAAATCGTAAATTTCGTTTATAGTAATGGCTCCAGGAACGGATTAATTACAAACAACGAGGGACCACTGTAATAATAATAATAATAATAAATACAATATAATTGAAGAAGGAAATTGTACAAAAACACGAGGGAGTGGTTGACACATTGTCAGTGTGGCTTTGTTTATGCTGGAGTGAGTACGTATTAGTCTCCCTGCTCTTCCAAACATTTCACAATAATTCAGCGGTTGAGGCAGTGGGTGAGGCAGTGGTTGAGGCAGCGGTTCAGGCAGCGGTTTGGCAGCGGTTGAGGCAGCGGTTTGGCAGCGGTTGAGGCAGTGGTAGAAGCAATGGTAGAGGCAACAGTTGAGGCAGTGGTATTTAATAACATATATGTTATAAATAATAATAGTACATGTTATTATTAATAACATGTATTATTATTATTATTATTAACATGAATGTTATTAAATACCATTGCCTCAACCGCTGCCTCAACCGCTGCCTCAACAGCTGCCTCAACAGCTGCCTCAACCACTGCCTCAATCGCTGCCTCAACCGCTGCCTCAATCGCTGCCTCAATTGCTGCCTCAACTGCTGCCTCAATTGCTGCCTCAACAGCTGCCTCAATCGCTGCCTCAATCGCTGCCTCAATCGCTGCCTCAACAGCTGCCTCAACCACTGCCTCAACCACTCCAGTCGCACTCAATCTACAAGCACCAAACACAATGAATTATTGTGAAATGTTTGTAAGAGCAGGGAGACTAATGCTCACTCCAGCATAAACAAAGCCACACTGACGATATGTCAACCACTCCCTCGTATTTTTGTACAATTTCCTTCTTCAATTATATCGTATTTATTATTATTATTATTATTATTATTGTTGTTACTATTACTACTACTGTTATTATTAGCTGTAGCAGAAATGTTTGATTCTTTGCTGTGTTCAAGAGTAAACACATGATGTCACCGTCTAATACCTGTCCAAATAGCCATTCCAATTTGCAGTCATGAATGGGTTTACATTATTTATACTGTAGTTTAATAGCATATAATGAACAAACAAAACACTCACCACACTGAGTGGAGGGAGGGCTGGCTGCCAGTTGCAGGGGTCGGAGGGAGGGTAGTAGGGACTCACAGGTGGCGGGAAACTTAAATATGATTTGGCGGCTGGGAATTTGGTGGCTGGGAATTTGGCGGTTGGGAATTCGCGAATGTGTGAAGCCCGTGAAAGTTGAAAACGTGAATGTTGAGGGAGACCTGTAATTGTATTTCTGTACACCTGAATAAACTTAATCAAGCGCATGTGGCATCGTAAGTAAGTTTATTTAGGTATACACAAATAAAGTTACATAGAATATCATAATTAGCAGCATATGTTTGGAGAATCTAGGATAACCCAAAAAGTCAGACAGACTTATTTCCATTAGGGTCCCTGTACCCTGTACTATATGGTACAATGTACCATATGGTATAATGTACCATATGGTATAATGTACCATATGGTATAATGTACCATATGGTATAATGTACCACATGGTACAATGTACCATATGGCACATTGTACCATATAACACCATTGTATGACATGGCACCAATGTACCATATGATACCATTGTACCATATGGTTCAAAACCATAGAATTCCTCTTCAGCTCCACTTCCATCAGTCTTAGAACTGTAAGTTGTGAAGAGAGTCAGAATTCACCCGGAGAGTGAGAGCTTCCTTGCCGCCAGGCACGATGAACAAAGCTACTTTGGCGGCATTCCCACAATGCCATGCGGGCATCCAGATTTTTTCTAGTGTGCACACTGAACACCCAGACCCATTCCCTCAGATGTAGGCCTTCCATCCTTCTTGTGCTAAATTTGACGCCGCTAGAATTTTGGCGTAGATCTACGGTTTGGACCCTCAACGTAAAGCCATAGATCTACGGCACGGACCCTGAAAGGGTTAAAGAACCTCCCTTGATGGGGAAGTTTGCATCCTGAAATTTCGTTCGTATCCAGAAGCAAAAAATCGATGGAATGATGGTTCATATCCTGAAAATTTTGCATGGTGGGGCATTCGTAAGCAGAGGTTCCAGTGTATATAAAATACTGTCAACACCTTTGCTTGCAGGTCAAAATAAATTCTTCTGTTGACCCAAAACTTGTATATAGTCTGGAAATTGCTTGCAATTGTATTTTTGTGACTTCAAATCATACACAATTGTTCTACCCATGTAATTATTAGTGAATTTAATTCATGCTTCATGTGGCATCAGTGGCATGTGTACTGCTATTGGCTCCTTTCCTAGCTTTTATATATGAATCTTGGTTATCAGAATCACTAGCATAAACTACAAGGTATAAAATTATTACCCTGAGAACACAATGATGTTTTAAGTCCAAAATCAATGTAAAAATGTTACTAAAAAGGGGTAGCATGGAACAAGTGGTTAACTAAAGGGTGAACAGGAGAAAAAAAATTACAGCAGTGAATGGTGGCTCTTCTCTCAAACCAATAAACGAGTTGCTCAATAGATCTCAGATGGGTAGATGATCTGCTGGTTGTGCTGAGGTATCCAGAAAGTGTTAAAATGAAACATTTTAGTCCATAAATTTTTCATGGATACAACACTATAGAAAGTGAATACAAGAGCCTGAAATAGCTATTTGATAATGGTGTACCTTATGTGTGAGATCTTTTTTTCCTTCCTGCCAGCCTCTGTCTGGCGCCTCAGCATAATTAAAGCCTCCCGAGCCATCTTCAGCCACTCCGAACATTTCATTACGTTTGCTTACTTGATCCCTGGAGAAAAAAAAAGGATAAACAATAAAAAAAATCTAAATTAGCATTCCTTAGAAAAGTAACAAGTTGGTTTTACTACAATCACACTATAATTATTTTAAATGCCTAGGACCTGACCCCTCAATGTAAGTTCAAATTTTATGACTAATGGACTTCAATCTAACAAAGTACCCTAATCAAAAAAAAAAAAAAAGCTCTTATACTAAATACTGTCTAAAAAATAGCCTGATATTATGATTTTCAGTTTTATTTCCAAGATTAAGATTATACCGCCAATTAAGCGAGAAGTTACAGGGTTAATAAAATTCATTTTTAAATGAAAAACTTTCTTCATCTATTATCTATACCATTCAAATAAAACCTTATCCAACTCCACTGGTGTCAAATCAGTCACCCTGATTATCATGGTATGTGTCTTGATGTCACCACTCAACTTGATGATCAGGGTGTGTTCCTGCACCTCACCACTCGCTCTGATGATCAGGGTGTGTGCCTTCACCTCACCACTTACCCTGATGATCAAGGTGTGTATCTGCACCTAAACAGTCACCCTGATGATCAGGGTGTGTGCCTTCACCTCACCACTTACCGTGATGATCAAGGCGTTTGTCTGCACCTAACCAGTCGCTCTGATGATCAGGGTGTGTGCCTTCACCTCACCACTTACCCTGATGATCAAGGTGTTCGTCTGCACCTAACCAGTCGCTCTGATGATCAGGGTGTGTGCCTTCACCTCACCACTTACCCTGATGATCAGGGTGTGTATCTGCACCTAACCAGTTGCCCTGATGATCAGGGTGTGTACCTTCACCTTACCATTCACCCTGATGATCAGGGTGTGTGCCTTCACCTTACCATTCACCCTGATGATCAGGGTGTGTGCCTTCACCTTACCATTCACCCTGATGATCAGGGTGTGCACCTTCACCTCACCATTCACCCTGGTACCATGCAATAATCTGCAAAGTATCATCTGTTTCCCTTAACATGTACTAATATAATGATAATAGCATTTCACAGTTATGGATTTAAACTAAAACACTAATAATTTTTTACTGGGAATATAGAAGCTCACCTGAATTTGTTCAACACAACTTTCTTGCCAGAGATGGGGTCTACCACATCACCATACTTGTATATCATTTTCACTAAGGAATGTGTTATTGCTTTTGTCATTTTCTCGGGAAGTTCCCTGAAAAAAATCAATGTTTAATACTAATCAACAGTTTTCCACAGGGGTGAACAAAATACAAATTATGGTCCACCACTGTGCTTAGCAATTTCAGAAAATTTTGAGTGTCTCCAATTTAAGAAAGAACTCATTATAAATTATGTGGTAATTAGGAATGGGTGTTGAACAGCCATAGCAGCAAGACCTAACAACCCTTGATGCATTTACTTAGGTATGTATTTTAGCTTGATTTTCCATAGATGAATGATGTGAACTGATTCTCTGATTTTGAATTTGTTATCATGGACCACAAGAAAGAACTCATTTCAAGACTATAAGGAAAAGGATCCTTTGTATTTTTTTTTTTTTTAACACTGGCCATTTCCCACTGAGGCAGGTCGACTTGAAAAAGAAGAAACACTTTCACCATCTCTCACTCCATCACTAAGTTATATGGTATTAAAATATTGCATTTATGATAAAATTGATTCTTTTATCTTGTCAGGGGAAAAATCAAGCAATTAGCTTACTTTTCATCTTTTTGTAACAAAAAACTATGAAAATCTTTTTTATTACTGAGCGTACTTGACTTATACACAGTATATACTTAGCTATTTCAAGACTTCAAAATAACCGAATGTGTGATGTCCATAGTCATTATTCACTTTAACTGATATTATGTTGATAAAGCCACAGTTGAACCTTTAACTTTAGCTTATTGACCTGCAATGTGATCCACTGCTTTTGGAACATTAAAGTCATTGACGCTTATCATTTGTGAATATTTCCAATATTAAAGATTCATGCTCAAAGAATGTTTGAAATATCTGGGTCAAAATACACAGGTGAGCAACCATTTTCTGTGGTGAAACTGAGTAAATCAAAATTTTAATCTACAATTATCAATGACCACCTAGGAGCAGTACTCAACATTACTACAATGGAGATAACACCAGACTTCAACACTTTGATTAATGCACAAAGCTGCCATTTCTGCCACTGAAGGAACATCTCACATTCTCACTGACATATTCAATGTGCACATGAAAGATACAATTTTGAGCTTTTATTAAAAATTACAATTTTGCATCAACAAAGTGTGTGCCCATGATTATCTAAACTAATAATGTGGCCTGCCAATCAAAATAATTGCCCATCACTGATTTACCACAAAAATATCCCAGAGTGTTCAAGAAAAACAGTGTCGTCAAGCCTAAATTGTGTGTGATGTGGAGGGCAAACAGTAAGGCATGGGTCACTAGGGACATTTTCCTCGATTGGTTCTATGACGTGTTTGGCCCCAGTGAGAAAAAATACCTGGAAAATAAATTGCCACTCCAGTGCCTCCTGTTAATGGACAATGTTCCTGCTCATCCTCCAGACTTGAAAGAGTGAATTGTGGGGGAGTTTAGTTTCATAAAAGTCAAGTTTTTGCCTCCTAACACCACTCCTCTCCTCCAGCCCATGGACCAGCAGGTCATTTCAAATTTCACAAAACTGTACACCAAAGCAGTGTTTCAAAAGTGCTTTGAAGTGACCTCAGACACTGAACTGACCCTAAGAGAGTTCTGGAAAGATCACCTCAGTATTCTCAGTTGCATAAACCTTATAGGTAAGGCTTGGGAGGGAGTGACTTGCAGGACTTTGAACTCTGCTTGGAGAAAATCGTGGCCAGAAAGTGTACAAGATTTTGAAGGGTTTGGGGCTAACCCTGAGGAGCCTATGCCAGTTGTGAAATCTACTGTGGCACTGGGGAAGTCCATGGGGTTGGAGGTTAGTGGTGAGGATGTGGAAGAGTTGGTGGAGGATGACGATGAAGAGCTAACCACTACAGAGCTGCAAGAGCTTGAGGTGCAACAGCAACAGACCACAGCTCAGGAATTTCCTTCAGGGGAGGGGGAAGAGAGATGGAGGAAGTTGCCTTCTGTGTCATGGTGATGAACATCAACCTGACACAGCTGTTGCAAGCCATGCTGGCAACATCTACAATGACAATATTGTGTCCCATTTTAGGGAAATCTTAAAGACACGCCAGAAACGGAGTTCTCTGGACAGATTTTTGGTGTGACAGGGGTCCAGTGATTCTCAACTGGTCCTTGTGACATTAAAAAACAAAGAAGGGAGGTAACCCCGGAAAAGGACTTGGTACCTAAAGTCCTTATGGAAGGGGATTCCCCTTCCAAACAATGATACACCTAAATCCTCTCCCCTCCTCCCATCTCATCACTCATCAATAAGTCTTCAATAAAGATAAGTGTCATTTTAGTATTGTTTATTCTGCATGTCTCGTTGTTTTCTGTGTAGGGAAATGTATATTTCATGTAAAAAAAATTATTTTGTTTAATACGTACTTTTGGGTGTCTGGAACGGATTAATTGGATTTCCATTACAGTGGACCCTCGGCTAACGATATTAATCCGTTCCTGAAAGCTCATCGTTAGCTGAAATTATCGTTAGCTGAATTAATTTTCCCCATAAGAAATAATGGAAATCAAATTAATCCGTGCAAGACACCACAAAGTAAGAAAAAAAAAAAAAATTACCACATGAAATATTAATTTTAATACACACAAACTGACACTTACCTTTATTGAAGATCTGATGATGATTGATGGGATGGGAGGAGGGGAGAGTATGGAAGTTGTTAATGTTTAGAAGGGGAATCCCCTTCCATTAGGATTTTAGGTAGCACGTCCTTTTCCGGGGTTACTTCCCTTCTTCCTTTAATGCCACTAGGACCAGCTGGCCATGGTGCAGCAACAGCTGACCGTGGTGCAGCAACAGCTGACCGTGGTGCAGCAACAGCTGACCGTGGTGCAGCAACAGCTGACCGTGGTGCAGCAGCAGCTGACAGTGGTGCAGCAACAGATGATGGTGGTGTAGCAGCAGCTGACTGTGGTGCAGAAGCAGCTGACTGTGGTGCAACAGCAGCTCACTGTGGTTCAGCAACAGCTGACTGGTGCAGCAACAGCTGACCATGGTGCAGCAACAGCTAACAGTGGTGTAGCAGCAGCTGACTGTGGTGCAGCAGCAGCTGACCATGGTGCAGCAGCAGTTGACTGTGGTGCAACAGCAGCTGAATGTGGTGCAACAGCAGCTGAATGTGGCTCAGCAGCAGCTGACTGTGGTGCAACAGCAGCTGACTGTGGTTCAGCAACAGCTGACTGTGGTTCAGCAACAGCTGACTGGTGCAGCAACAGCTGACCATGGTGCAGCAACAGCTAACAGTGGTGTAGCAGCAGCTGACTGTGGTGCAGCAGCAGCTGACCATGGTGCAACAGCAGCTGAATGTGGCTCAGCAGCAGCTGACTGTGGTGCAACAGCAGCTGACTGTGGTTCAGCAACAGCTGACTGTGGTTCAGCAACAGCTGACTGGTGCAGCAACAGCTGACCATGGTGCAGCAACAGCTAACAGTGGTGTAGCAGCAGCTGACTGTGGTGCAGCAGCAGCTGACCATGGTGCAGCAGCAGTTGACTGTGGTGCAACAGCAGACTGGTGCAGCAACAGCTGACTGTGGTGCAGCAACAGCTGACCATAGTGCAGCATCAGCTGACCATGGTGCAGCAACAGCTGACCATGGTGCAGCAACAGCTGACCATGGTGCAGCAACAGCTGACTTTGGTGCAGCAGCAGCTGACCGTGGTTCAGCAACAGATGGTGTAGCAGCAGCTGACTGTGGAGCAGCAGCAGCAGCTGACCGTGGTGCAACAGCAGCTGACTGTGGTTCAGCAACAGCTGACTGTGGTGCAGCAGCAACTGACCCTGGTGCAGCAGCAGCTGACTGTGGTGCAGCAGCAGCTGACTGTGGTGCAGCAGCAGCTGACTGTGGTGCAGCAGCAGCTGACTGTGGTGCAGCAGCAGCTGACTGTGGTGCAGCAGCAGCTGACCATGGTGCAGCAGCAGCTGACTGGGGTGCAGCAGCAGCTGACTGTGGTGCAGCAGCAGCTAACTGTGGTGCGGCAACAGCTGGCAGTGGTGCAGCAGCAGCTGACTGTGGTACGATAGTACGTATTTCCCACCCTTTTTACATATGATCGCTTGAGAGATGGTATCTCCTGCTATCTGTTTTTCGTTTATCCACTTCATTTCCATAGTAATTTTCACCTTTTTTTACTGCACGGTTGGCACTAGAAGCTTTCTTGGGGCCCATGGTGACTTATTTTGCAGGTACAATCACTAAAAACGCTGTGATAATATGAAATGTTCTGATTGTATGCGTGGATGCAACCGCACTGGCTGGCTTGTAAACACTGGCACCCACGGGACAACTGAGGCATGCTCAGGCCACACGTGGACGCATCTCGAACGAATCGCGTTGGGCGAGTTTTTTAGCGTTAGCCGAGGCAAAATTTTTGCGTTAAAATGTATCGTTAGTTGGATTTAACGTTAGCTGATGTTATTGTTAGCTGAGGGTCCACTATTTCTTATGGGGAAAATTAATTCGGATAACGACAGAATCAGTTAAAGACAAGCTCTCTGGAATGGATTACATGTGTACTGTCATTAACTGGGGGTCCACTGTATTTTGATACTCATGCTATAGGGAAAAGTGCCAAGTAATTCTTAGGAATTAACTGATTTCCTAAATATTAAAAATTATCGTCTTCCTAGTTCTTGAATACGTTATTCATTTCCCGATGGTGACACTCTTCAAATCGCTAGTGCTCCCTCACTTAGAATATTGCTCAGTGCTGATGGCCCCATTCAAAGCAGGAGAAATATCAGAGCTGGAACAAATACAGAGATTGTTTACAGCTCATACTACTGGGAACGCCTGCCAGTATTCATTGGAGCAGAGGAGAGAGAGATACATGATAATATATGGTATAAACCGTGGTAATAAATACCGACAAGTTGGTTTAGAAAGACACGTAAGCAAACACTATAACATATTTATTAGAAAACGTTTCGGTCCTGGGACCTTGATCACTTCTAACATACAGAGGTAGAAAGACATTATATATATAGGCGGAGAGTGAGGTGTGACGCACGTGACCTGAGGAATGTCATAAGAACATAAGAATGGAGGAACACTGTAGAAGGCCTACTGGCCCATGCGAGGCAGGTCCTTATCAAAACAACCTCTGCCTATGATGAGGATGGGTATACGTTGAAATCATGTGACTCCTGTGTTGTTGGGTTGGTGGTGCTTAAGTATCATGTATGCCAATGTTTTTGAAATTTTGTAGTTTCCAGTGTTGCGTTCTATAGTGTCGGTGACGGCGATTAGTGAGGCTTCTAGGCACCGTCGGCGTCTGAGGTCTGGTTCGGTGAGAACGAGTTGTGCCTCATTCCAGTTCATCAAATGTCCCGTGGAGTCTCTGTGGAGGACACAGGCACACCTTACATCGTCTCTGTTAGAGGCATTTCGATGCTCATTCAAGCGGACTGCAAGATCTCTGCATGTCTCGCCTACATATTTCTTGGGACAGAACCCACAGGGGATAGTGTAGATGCCTGCTGTAGAAGTTAGAGGTGTGGGGTTGCGTTTCGTAGTGAGGTCTTTGATAGATGTGTTTATGGTGGAAACGTTGATGTTACTCATAGCAAGTGCCCAGCGAGTATTCGTGGCAACATCACCACATGGGAGTACTATGAACTGCTTAGGGGGCTGTTCCATGGGCGGTTTGATGAGAATAGCTTGTGCCTTAAGTCTGCAATCTCGGATGAAGAAAGATGGGAACTGAAGACGTGTAAAGGCTTGTGTTATGTAAGTGCATTCTTCTTCTAGAAAAAAAGGGCTGGAGATGCGAAGAGCTCTCAAGAAGAAGCCAATGAGGACTCCTCTCGTATGTTAGAAGTGATCAAGGTCCCAGGACCGAAACGTTTTCTAATAAATATGTCATAGTGTTTGCTTACGTGTCTTTCTAAACCATGATAATATATACACCTGAAAAGCACTCAAGGGCCTGGTCCCAAATCTGCACACTGTCATAACATACTGGCATGAGAGATATGGGAGGAAGTGTAAAATAAACCCAGTGAGGAGAAGGGGTGCAGTGGGGACAATAAGGGAACACTGTATAAACATCCAGGGTCCCAGACTATTCAGCATACACTATTCAGCATCTTAGCAGAAGATATCAGAAACACGGCTGGGACAAGTGTAGAAGCCTTCAAGTGGAAAGTGGACAAGTATCTTCACCAGATGCCAGATCAACCAGGCTATGATGGATATGTGGGGCAGCAGGCCTCCAGCAGCAACAGCCTGGTTGACCAGGCAAGCACCAGATGAGCCTGGCCCATGGTCAGGCTCAGAAAGTAGATTAACTCTTGAAACTCTTCAAAGGTATATCACAGGTACAATGAATTACAAATAAACAAAGGTAAAGCAAAACTCAGAGATATCTTACTTGATCAGCACAATATCCCCATCTTTGCACTGTTGCTCAGGGTCATGAGCATAGTAGTGTTTATGTTCTGAAAAATACTGAAAATAAAATACAAGAATTTTTAGTAAATACATTAATTTGCATCATACAGCTATAACATAATATAATCCTGACACACAGGAAACGTAGACAATTGAAGAACGTTTGGTTCATGGCCACCCATTTTAGATTTTTTTCGGAGAAAAGAAAAATAGCCAATTTGAAAACACTTACTGTACAGTACTGTGATATATTTATCAACAGAAGCAAAATAAGCTCTATATAAAATTTTACATATTACCAAAAAATAATACAATACTTACAAAACATGTTTAAGACAAAATACAATTCATGAAACTTCCAATAGACTAGAAAGAATATTTCTCCCTTCATTTTTGTTCTTTAAAGATAGATTTAATTAACAATCCAAAGCACACTTATTCACTTATCCTACATTATCTCAGTCCACAAGAAGGATTCAGACCTTCAGCTAGGTGCCCATAGTTATCTGGGATCTGGCAGAGTGGCTTAAGTACTGTGTACTTTAATACAGTGTGTGCAGGTCTGAATCCTGCTGTGGACTGAGTGATAATGTTTGTAAATAATTTTGCCCGTTTGTGAATTGTTAAGCATATACATACATATGTAGGAACATATGTACACAGGCACATATGCACGCAGGAACATATGTATGCTGGTACATACGCATGCAGGTACAAACGTACGCAGGTACATAGGTACGTACGCAGGAACATACATATACAAGTACATATGTAAGCAGGTACATACGTATGCTGGTACATACGTACGTAGGTACATACATATACAGGTACGTACATACACAGGTACATACGTACATATGAACATACGTACATATGAACATACGTACATATGAACATACGTACATATGAACATACGTACATATGAACATACGTACATATGAACATACGTATGTAGGTACATACACATATACGTATAGTTCTTGTAAATAAAGATGCCTATCTACCAATGGCATAGTAAAGTTGAGTTACATTAAACTACTTTAGGTTGGATTTGGTGGGTTTCACTTAAGTTTTCTACCACTTGCACAGCAAAATAATACATAGACTGTAAAACAATGTAAAATTCATATGATAATCGCTTGTGGAAATCTGCTGAGTAGCAGTCGTATACTATCACCTACATATATCTTATTTCTGTGCTATCATACTGACTATTAATGTAAATCAAGTAAAATAACAAAACTGAAGAGCACTGTCTTTGTGAAAAATATTTGTCAGAACCAGAGTTCAGTAGTAACCCTCACCATATTTAAATTGCTGTCAAACTTCATCCGCTGTACCCGAACTTGGGCAGCATTTTCTATGTTGTGCGCGATGCATTTGCCAATTAAAAATCTGCCTCTCGTCACATTACTTGCCATTTATGCTTAAATATCTGTCGACTGGAAACACAATCAGCTGCAGACGGCTTGATATTAACAAATCCAAGTCAGCCTCAAATCAATACGATGTTTAATCACAATTACTGTAAAAATAATAGCCAGAAACAATTAGTTTAGTTTATTCCAAAAAATAAGTCTTTAAAAATTTAATTTATTCTACAGTAGGTTTTTAAAAATATTAGTTATAAATATTGCATCCTTAACTGATGCCGACTTGAACTCGATAGGCTTAAGGGTTGGGGTTCTTATTGGACTTTATGCAAGTATCCGGATACAGATTAGGATTTAGCAATTAATGCTGTGTATTTTGTGATTAATAATAATAATAATAATAATAATAATAATAATAATAATAATAATAATAATAATAACAATAATAATAATAATAATAATAATAATAATAATAATAATAATAATAATATGCCATGCCATCAAGGATTAAATTTTGCCACCGAAGTGGCTAGTTTATTGTGCACCCCACATCCGTCCTGTGGACGGTAGCACAAGAGCATATGGATACACAAAAAGCCCAGGAACTAGGGCCTAAAGGGTTAACATGAATACCTATGGATTTATATTTACATACCTATAGTTCACTTATCTGTTACAAGCAAATTTAGGAAATTTGCTTAGTATATCTGGTATCTTATTTTCATTAATAAGATATCTTGACATGTCACATAGGTTATTATACTGTCTATCTCTGCATTCCTCAATAAGTGGACAATTAAGCACATAGTGTTCAAGACAGTGACCATATGCTTGATGACATAATTTACATTTAGTTTGATCATCATCTGTGTGTCTCCCAAACTGCCAGAAGTACTTGTAACCAAGCCTAAGCCTGGCCACTACAACATCAGTCAGTCTGTTCACATTGCCAGTTGCTCCATAAACATACTTATCTACGTTCATGTTATCATAGTGGGTTATAACTCTACTCAGGCTCTCGTGCATCGCTTAACAGGAGTTACAAAATAGCTTTGTACAAACCACCTCACCGTAGATGCTACAAGTGTCAGCGCTAAGTAAGTAAGTAAGTAAGTTTATTCAGGTATACACAAATACAGTTACATAGAATTATCATACATAG